GTAATAGAGGACTTTAAAAGAAAATAAGAGAAAAAATTTTTTTTCTAATTAAAAAAATAGTAAAAATATGTGAAAATGAAAATGAAAGTTAAGGAGTAATGGAGGAGTAATAGGGAATTTTAAAAGAAAATAAAAGAGAAAAAATTTTAAAATAAGAAATTTTTTTTCTTTTTAATTAAAAAAAGTAAAAATATATCTAGGAATTTCTCTGGAGCTGTTGCAGTCAGTGTGGGTTTGGTTCAGTTTCAGATAGCTCCTCGTTCCAGTTTACACTTATCGATATCTCTAGGCCCCTTCCGGTGTAGTCAGTGTTATCTACAGGAATTTTGATCTGTTGCACCAGTCACTTCTGAAGAGGTTCTCTTTATTTATTTGGCTTCTGTTTGCCAGTCTCTTAAGTGTCTAATTTCCACCCTGACAGGCGGGTAGAGGTAGTCTCTTGTTCAGGTTCACTTGTTCAGTGGTACTGCCAGGAGAGAGGGGCGCTGCAGACAAATGTCACTGGCCTGTGTGGGGAGCACTCGCATTGTTCCGGCCACACTGGGTTTGCCCCCGCTCACGGGTGTGTGCTTTCCCTGTCTACGCTGCTCAAGCTCCCAGCTGCTCTATATGGAGCAGGCCCTGCGTTGTGTGCGGTTCCAGTTTTCAGGTATTCCACAAAAGCGCGGGCCTGCGTTTTGTGCCTTCCCCGCCCCCGGAGCAGCTCAGGCAGCCAGGAACTTGACGGGCGCACTCTCCTCAGGTGCAATGCACCTTATCCCCTCCGTGGTCCCAGCCTCAGTTTCCACGTGCTGGTCGGGTGCGCCTTGTGTCTGTTCTTGGGAGCTGGCCTCTAGCCGCGACCCTCCTGGCGGATGTCGACCATCCAGAATCTCAAGGAAGTCTTTGGTTAGAGACTGGAAGCGTGTTTGCAGTTTGGTAGGGGATGCAGTCTCTGGGGCTGAGTTTGCCCCTTTCCCCTCCCCCCTGCCTCCTGCCTCCGGCGGGGGATGGGCCGGTCTGCCCGCTAGCTCTTCTCTGGAATTGCTCAGTCCCTTTGTTCTGCGAACCGCTGGAAGTGTGTTCGGGCCAGTTAATTTTCTCTCTCTGTCTTGCTATCCCACAGTTTAAGTTGCTATCTCACGTTAGTTCCCTTCAATTGCCCTCAGGGCATTCGGGCCGGGTCCTTACCCTAAGCAATGCTGACCGCTCCTCTCCGTTCTGCCCCCACTTGCTGGTGGCGGATGCGGGCGTCTGGGGTACTTTTCTGCTTGGAGTTGCTTTTAGGCATGTAATCTGTGGGTTTTATTTATTTTTCCTCCCAGTTAGGTTGCCCTCCAAGATTCGAAAACTTCCCCCAGACCTGCCAGTGCGAGGGTTTCCTGGTGTTTGGAAACTTCCTCTATTACGACTCCCTTCATGGGCGGGTCTCTGTCCCTAGCTCTTTTGTCTCTCTTTTTATCTTTTATATTTTGTCCTACCTCCTTTCGAAGATGATGGGCTGCTTTTCTGGGCGCCTGATGTCTTCTGCTAGCGGTCAGAAGTTGTTTTGTGAAGTTTGCTCAGCGTACAGATGTTCTTTCAATGAATTTGTAGGGGAGAAAGTGGTCTCCTCATCCTATTCCTCCACCATCTTAGCTCCTCCTCTGCCAGAAATGTAAAACTTTATGGTAACTTTATTAAAAAGCTGCCAAATGATTTTCTGAAGTGACTATACAATTTCGTGATGTATAAGACTTCTGGATACTCTTTGTCTTCACCAGCTCTTTATGTTGTCTGTTTTTTAACATTAGTCTTCTAGTGGGTCTGCATTGAGTGATATCTCATTGTGGTTTTAATTTCTGTAATGACTAGTATGTTGAGTATCTTTTCATGTGTTGGTTTGTCATCTGCACTTTATCTCTGGCAGTGTTGTGGTTGTTACAGTTTTGTGTGGGATGGTACTAGTCATTAGTGAGGAGAGACTAAGGATGCTGCTGAATATCCTGCAATATGCAGGACGGCCCCCACAACAAAAAATTATCTAGCTCAAAATACTAACTAATGTGTAAAATAATTTGGAAGTATAATTGGTGAGACTTAGTCACTGATTCAATACAAGGAACACAAAGAAAAGAAGGAGTTACAAACTTAAGTTGGAGATTTCAAGTCTGTGTGACCAGGAGGATGGTAATATGGGTAATAGTGATTGAAACAGGTAAGAGAGCAGGTTTGGGAAAGCTCATGGTCAGCTCAAATGTGGATTGGAGTATGTAATGAATGTAATAAAGGGGAGCATGTAATAAAGTGGTTCATAACTAGAGATATATTGGAAGTCATGGGATTGAACAACACTGACAAGAACAAAGTGAGGAAGATAAGAGAAGATTAATATTAAAGTTGCTTTGCACTTGGGAGACAGGAGCTGGAAGAGGGAAGGTTAGAAGGAAGGAACTGGGAAAGCATTGTCCTGCACCAGGATGATGTTTCCAGTGGGAGGTTGTGTGAAATACTGCAGAGAAATGAGGAAGGGGAACTAAAAAAGTTAGTAAATTTGGAAATTAGGACCTCTTTAGTAATTTTTTTCCAGAGAGAAATTTCAGAAGGTTGTTTATGGTAGAGGGAAGATTGTTTGGATGGTGGCAAGAACCAAAGTTTAAAGGTTGAGAATAAAAAAGTACAGTATCTAGTTTAAATGATTGAAGCCATGTATGGTAAAAGTCATACAGAAAGAATACTATTTTGAGGGAAAGCAGTGATGAATGAGAGTTTTGAGGGGTATACTAGTTTACTAGGGCTGCCATAACATTCCCACAGAGTAAGGGGCTTAGAACAAGAAGTGCATTGTCTTGTAGTTTTTGGAAGATAGAAATCCCTAATCAAAGTGCCCCCAGACCATGCTTCCTCTGAAGGCTCTAACAGAGAAAACTTCCTTGCCTTTTTCTAGCTTCAGGTGCTTGCTGTCAGTTGTTGACATTCCTTGACTTGTAGATCCATCACTTCGGTCCCTGCCTCTGTCTTCACATGACCATCTTCCCTCTGTGTGTTTCTATGTCTAAGTTTCCCTCTCCTTTCTGTTATAAAAATAACAGTCAGTGGATTTAGGGCCCACTCCAATCCAGTATTACCTTAGGATGCTCCAAGTGAACATGAATCTTGGGGGGATATTATTCAACCCAGGACATGGGGGTAGTTAAGATAAGGGGATTTTGCCATTGTGAGATTATTTCATACCCACTAGGATGGCTAAAATAAGGACAGTAACAAGTATTGGAGAGAATATGGAGAAATTGGAACCCTCATACGTTGCTGGGTGGAACTGTAAAGTGGTACAGCCACTTGGGAAAACATTTTGCATTTCCTCAAAAGGTTGAACATGGAGTTACCATATGACCCAGTAATTCTACTTTAAGAGAATTGATAACATCTGTCTACATGAATGTTCATAGCATTATTATTCATAATAGCCAAAAAGTAGAAATGGCCTAAATGTCTATTAACTGATGACTAGATTAACTATGATTTATTCATGCAATGGAATATCATACAGCCCTAAAAGGATGACGTACTTGATGCAACATGGACGAACCTTTGAAAGCATGCTAAGTGAAAGAAGCCAGTCACAAAAACGATATGCTATATGATTCCATTAGTGATTAGTGGTTGCCAGGAACTGAGGAGAAGAAAGAATGGGGAGTGCCTGCTAATGGATATGGGGTTTCTTTTTGGGTTGATGGAAGTGTTTGTAAATTAGTGGTGATGGTTGTATAGCTATGAGTTTACTAAAAAGCAGTTAATTGTACACTTTAAAGGGGTGAATTTTATGGTATACAAATTATATCTTAGAACTGTTAATTAAAAAAAGGGGATATTTGATTTACTGTAGGCTGAAGAGAGACAGATCATTGAGTGGTCACAAGGTTGCTTGGTCCAGTCACATGATAACTTTTACATGGTTCTACTACCACAGTATATTGGAACTCATTATTTTAATAAACTATGTAAGATTAGTGCATCTAAAATATAGTTATTTGGCCCAAATCTGTCTTATAAGTGAAAATGGTGTATAATTTAAAATGTGAACTCTATAATATGGGCCAGAATGTGATTATCTCAGTCATACCAGTGTACTGTTCCAGATGTAAGAATATTAAATGAATTTACCTAATTAAAAATTTTTAGTATAGATACTTGAAAATTAGGATAAATATGATTACAATATTGACCCACCTACGAAAGAAAAAGAACATTTTAGTTCTACCAGTTATATTGATTTCAGATATGACCACTTTGAACACATTCTTAAAATCATGTTTAAAAAACAAACTTAATTTGAAGGGTCTACTTTAATGATTCATTATTCTATATTGAGCCAGAATAGTAGCTAATATTTTTGAGTACTTCCTTTGTATCACACACAGTTTTGAGTTCTTATGAACCATCTTTTAAAATCCTCAGGAAAAGCCCTTTGAGATATAGAGAAATATCTCACCTAATACAGAGAAGTAACTCACCCAGTCTCACATAGCTAAGAATTTTAAGAGTTAGAATTTGAACGCAAGCAGTCCATCTTTAGGGCTTCCCAGGTTGCACCATGGTAAAGAATCTGCCTATCAATGCAGGAGATGCAAGAGATGCAAGTTCCGTGTCTGGTCAAGATCCCCTGGAGTAAGGAATGGTAACCCACTGCAGTATTCTGGCCTGGAATATTCCATGGACAAAGGAGCCTGGTGGGCTATAGTCCATGGGGTTGCAAAGAGTCAGACCGTGACTGAGTAGCATATCACATGCCCATCTTAAGAAGGGAAGCAGTCTGTGTTCTTAGCCACTAAATTATCCTGGCTGTCTCAAAGTAGATTAGAATTTTTTAATGAAAAATTTTTAAGATTTGCATGAGTCGCACAAAATATAGTTCAAGTGTAAGCTTCAACTCTATCAGAGTTAGATGTGTAAGGGCAGAAAATAATATGTTTTAGGGAACAGTGGGGATAATACACATTACAGAGGACATGAATATAATTCTCATTATTTTTCCCTGCCAGTATGAAGTGAAAGCTCCCGTTCCTTCTGCCTGTTTCAGGAATATTTGTAAGCAAATGGCAAAAATGCATGAAGCTATATTTGATCTCCTTCCTGAAGAACAAACGCAAGTGAGTAGTAATTCCTAAAACTATTATATGTAACATAATATGCATGCAGAATTGAAGTGTTTTTATGTACTTTTGGCACATGTAAGCTTAGTTCATGTCACAATATGATCATTATTATTTTTTTCCAGTTGTTATATTGACTTGTAGAACATGGATAGAAATTTCTGATTTCAGAACCCTCCTTGCCCTGACAGGCTAGAGCAGTGGTAGCTTTGCTCTGTGGTCAACCATTCTAAAAAGCAGATTTTCATTTGTCCATTGGGTCATCAGAGGTCCCAGATTCTACCAACATCATTTATTACATTGTTTGAAAATCAGAGTTAGCATTTATCAATGAATAGTAGAATAAGTTACACACTGATTATAATCCAAATTGGATAGGGAAGGAATTACTGATGGACTTAATAACTTAATAACTCAATCAGTATACCTTAATGTTTGTTAGGTCAGCATGAATGGTGTGTCGTAGGCACAAATCAGGAAAAGTAGCAAAATGGGTAGTCTTTAGCATCTCTTACCTATGAAGTTTCCATCCTCTGCCTCTGCTATTTTCCCTACACTATCATCAGTGTTTTCTCCACTTTTCCACGACATTCCTACCCCTGACTTTCCTCAATTCTGTTTCCTAGTAGTACTTTAAAGGTTCCAGTACTTCTTTTTTTTTCAGTCTTCTTTATCCACCTTAGTTTGTTCCCTTTATACCAGGTGATCTCATTCAAACCTAGTTGTATTTAGGGTCGGGAAGATCCCCTGGAGGAGGGCATGGCAACCCACTCCAGTATTCTTGCCTGGAGAATCCCATGGACAGAGGTGCCTGGAGGACTATAGTCCACGGGGACAGGACTGAAGCGACTTAACAAACACACAGTGTTATAATTAATACAAGCCTAGCTGTTACATGATTAATGATCTTAGCTTTCACTGGGGTTTTTGCTCTTCAGACACGTTTCTTATTTCAGTTTGTCTCTGATTGGCTGAGTACGTGGCATCGATACTTGGGAGCAAAGTGTAGGTTTTGTAGTGTCTTCCCCACTTTTGCTTCTGCTGGTCTCCTTTTCCACACCACCTTGAACTTTCATCTTACACTAGCTATTACCATCTTCTCATGTTTTCCTAGGTTTTCATTAATCATACTAACTTTATGAATAAATATTATCCACCATCTTTGGGGCTCACTGAGGACTTTGGAGGAGCTTTAGATACGGAGCACCCACTAGGGTCTCTCTTTTCCTTTCTCAGTCTTCCTAGTCAAACCATCTTTTTCATTCCACATGCAAGATCCCCCACCTCTGGCATTCTGACCTTCTGAATTTGCCCTCTGAGTTCTAATTCTGGACCAAGACTTAGCCAGGTCAGTGAGCTGAATACACAGGTATTTCATGTATTTTTATCTGCATCTTCATTTAAAGTGAACTCTTTTCAAACCTGGGCACACAGTATAGATTTTATGTAATCACTGTCATTTGCCGTACCAGTGATTCCATAAAACTTTTCCATAGATGACTTTATATATTTTTGTCATGGAAAATATATTTCACAAAATTGTTTCCATAGATTAGTTTTGTATAATTTCAGGTCAGGCATTTCCCAAAGAAGTACTGGGCCATTACATTAAAAATTTGCAAATGGAGTGATAAAATACTTCCAAGTAATTTAGAAGGATAACAGTAGCCTTCCTTTACCATTGTGACTTTTTTCTCTATCAGGTTCCTAGTTAATTGCAGAATTCTCCATCTTTTCTCTATTCTTTTTACCTGTATGGTTCATCCCATTTACGTATTCCAGAAGACTTTTAAGGGGCAGAAAGGCAGTAGTAAATCCTATCACTAAAAGGAGTACTGCTAAAAAGGGCAAAAGAGCTTTTATCCAACTAAGGAGAAAAACTATACTGAAATAGTAATTCCATACTTTCAGAGGAGCATTTTAAAAGTATATGCCAAAGCAAAAAATTTTCTCCAAATAATACTAATTACTTATGTCTTCTGTGTCAGCAGAGCTCTAAGAAACTTAATATTGTTTCTTTTCCAGATGTTATTTTTAAGAATTAATGCAAGTTACAAACTCCACTTGAAAAAGCAGTTATCTCACTTAAATGTGATAAATGATGGAGGACCTCAAAATGGGTATGTTTTCAAGATATTTTTACCACATACTCCGATATTGAGTTGTTTGATGAGTTTTTATTCACTATGCTGTCCTTTACCACTATAATCTTGCCAGGGCCCCACAGTTGTAAAATAGCAACCTTTTGCCTTTTTTTTTTTTTTGCCTCTGTGGAGGTGCTATATCTCTATATCTATCTGTCTGTTTACGTTAAAGTGTTTTATAAATGGTCAGTTAGTTAACTGACCTTATATGTCTACTTTGAGGCAGTGTGCATTAGTAGCACCTCCTTAGGTCACCCAGTAGTCTTCAGCTGTCCAGACAGAACTCCTACTTTGTACCTGTATGACCATGAGAAAGTCACTTAAACTCTGTGCCTTATGTATGAAATGAGAATGATAAAATCTCTTCAGTTCCTCCACCGGGTTACAAAAAATAATGTGTATATATTTTCTTGTAAGCCACTGAACAAATTTTATGTATTATTGGTGAAATAAAATGACATATAAAACATAAGATTTAGAATCAGAAAACTTGGGTTAAGTTTGGCCACTTACTAGCTCTGTAACTGAGCAAGTCACTTAATCTCTGTGAGCCTTAATATTTCTTATATTGGGAATGATAAAAAGTTCTGTCACAGAATTTTGGTTAAGAGCAATGTAGGTTAGGATATGAATTTAAAGATTATATAAAATACAAGGCACTGATCATATAAGTTACACCTTAGTATGATTCCTGTACTTTGTTACCTGTTCATGGATTTTTAGAAATGGAATATTTTTTTCCCCATTAAAGACATTTCAGGCTTAAATTTCAAACTTACAGGGACAAACATAAAAACCATATTTTGGAATCAGAAGTTGGTTTTGCCCTTAAAAAAAAAAAAAGTATGTTTCACCCTTGAACAAGGTAGGGAAGGGGGGGTTAGGTGTGCTGCCCTCTAGCAGTTGAAAAATTCAAGAATAACTTAAGGACCTGGCCCTCCATATACAGGGTTTCTCTGTATCCACAATTCCACATCCATAGATTCAACCAACTGCAGATCATATAATGCTCTAATATTTACTATTTTTTAAAAATTGACCCACACAGTTAAAACCTGTGATGTTGGAGAATACAGTAAATTGATTTTGCAGAAAACTATTTATAAGCTTCAAACTGCTGAATTTGTTTGCCAGGCTGAATTTAAGAGGTTTATGCAAAAATCTGATTTTCTTTTGACTATTAACCTGTTTCTTCTTTTTTTAAAGAATTATTTTTTTTCCAAAAATTTCAAAGCCACAGAAAAGTTTAATGACAGTATAATGAATACCAAATATTCAAAGAAACCTAATATTATTTTAAAGTCCCATTCCTCTCATACATTCCTACTTTAATTCCCATAACCGAATCTTGCTAGTTGGTTGTTTTCAGACCAGTAGATCTGAAGCATCCAAATTAATTAATCACCTGTTATTTTCTTTGTTAATATAACTATTTGGGGATTGGCACCTTCAAGATCTTCATTATCTTACACTTTTAAAGACAGTAATACTTAGTAAGTCAAATACATCTTTGAGTGATTCCTTGAAGGATAGAATTTCCTAAAAACTTACCTCTAGACTCTAGCCAAAGACAGGAATTTTTTTTTTCCTGAAATGGCTCTAAAATTTTACTTTTTTCAAGCTGAAATTGGGACATAACATAAAATCAAACATTTCACAGTTAAAAATTCAGTGGCCATTAGTACCTTCACAACACCACCTCTGTGCAACCACCAGCTTTGTCTAGTTCCAAACATTTTACAGAATGAAGCAGAACAAAGGCTAATAGAGTTCTGCCAAGAGAATGCACTGGTCATAGCAAACACCCTCTTCTAACAACACAAGAGAAGACTCTACACATGGACATCACCAGATGGTCAACACTGAAATCAGATTGATTATATTCTTTGCAGCCAAAGATGGAGATGCTCTATACAGTCAGCAAAAACAAGACCGGTAGCTGACTGTGGCTCAGATCATGAACTCCTTATTGCCAAATTCAGACTTAAATTGAAGAAAGTAGGGAAAACCACTAGACTATTCAGGTATGACCTAAATCAAATCCCTTATGATTATACAGTGGAAGTGAGAAATAGATTTAAGGGACTAGATCTGATAGACAGAGTGCCTGATGAACTATGGACGGAGGTTCGTGACATTGTACAGGAGACAGGGATCAAGACCATCCCCATGGAAAAGAAATGCAAAAAGGCAAAATGGTTGTCTGAGGAGGCCTTACAAATAGCTGTGAAAAGAAGAGAAGCGAAAAGCAAAGGAGAAAAGGAAAGATATTCCCATTTGAATGCAGAGTTCCAAAGAATAGCAAGGAGAGATAAGAAAGCCTTCCTCAGTGATCAATGCAAAGAAATAGAGGAAAACAACAGAATGGGAAAGACTAGAGATCTCTTCAAGAAAATTAGAGATACCAAGGGAACATTTCACCCAAAGATGGGCTCAATAATAGGACAGAAATGGTATGGACCTAACAGAAGCAGAAGATATTAAGAAGAGATGGCAAGAATACATAGAAGAACTGTACAAAAAAGAACTTCACGACCCAGATAATCACGATGGTGTGATCACTCACCTAGAGCCAGACATCCTGGAATGTGAAGTCAAATGGGCCTTAGAAAGCATTACTACGAACAAAGCTAGTGGATGTGATGGAATTCCAGTTGAGCTATTTCAAATCCTGAAAGATGATGCTGTGAAATTGCTGCACTGAATATGCCAGCAAATTTGTAAAACTCAGCAGTGGCCACAGGACTGGAAAAGGTCAGTTTTCATTCTAATCCCTAAGAAAGGCAATGTCAAAAAATGCTCAAATGTCAAAAATGCACAGTTGCACTCATCTCACACACTAGCAAAGTAATGCTCAAAATTCTCCAAGCCAGGCTTCAGCAATACGTGAACCATGAACTTCCAGATGTTCACGCTGATTTTAGAAAAGGCAGAGGAACCAGAGATCAGATTCCCAACATCCGTTGGATTGAAAAAGCAAGAGAGTTCCAGAAAAACATCAATTTCTGTTTTATTAACTATGCCAAAGCTTTTGACTGTGTGGATCACAATAAACTGAGGAAAATTCTGAAAGAGATGGAAACACCAGACCACCTGACCTGCCTCTTGAGAAACCTGTATGCAGGTCAGGAAGCAATAGTTAGAACTGGACATGGAACAACAGACTGGTTCCATATAGGAAAAGGAGTATGTCAAGGCTGTATATTGTCACCCTGCTTATTTAACTTATATTCAGAGTACATCATGAGAAATTCTGGACTGGAAGGAAGCACAAGCTGGAATCAAGATTACTGGGAGAAATATCAATAACCTCAGATATGCAGATGACACCACCCTTATGGCAGAAAGCAAAGAACTAAAGAGCCTCTTGATGAAAGTGAAAGGGGAGAGTGAAAAAGTTGGCTTAAAGCTCAACATTCAGGAAACAAAGATCATGGCATCAGGTCCCATCACTTCATGGCAAGTAGATGGAGAAACAGTGGAAACAGTGGCAGACTTTTATTTTTTTCAGCTCCAACATCACTGCAGATGGTGACTGCAGCCATAAAATAAAAAGACACTTGCTCCTTGGAAGAAAAGTTACGACCAACCTAGCCAGCATATTAAAAAGCGGAGACATTACTTTGTCAGCAAAGGTCTGTCTAGTCAAGGCTATGGTTTTCCAGTAGTCATGTGTGGATGTGAGAGTTGGACTATAAAGAAAGCTGAGTGCCAGAGAATTGATGCTTTTGAGCTGTGGTGTTGCAAAAGGCTCTTGAGCATCCCTTTGACAGGTAGGAGATCCAACCAGTCCATCCTAAAGGAAATCAGTCGTGAATGTTCATTGGAAGGACTGATGCTAAAGCTGAAACTCCAGTACTTTGGCCACTTGATGCGAAGTACTGACTCATTTCAAAAAACCCTGATGCTGGGAAGGATTGAAGGCGAGAGGAGAAGGGGACAACCAGAGGATGAGATGGTTGGATGGCATCACCGACTCAATGGACATGAGTTTGAGTCAACTCCAGAGCTGGTGATGGACAGGGAGGCCTGGTGTGTTACAGTCCATGGGGTCGCAAAGAGTTGGACACAGCTGAGCAACTGAACTGAGCTGAAACATTTTACTACCCCAAGAGGAAATCCCAGGCCGGTTGTGTGCATGCTTATGTCCGACTCGGCGATCTTATGGACTGGAGCCTGGTGCCCTCCTGCAGGGGATCTTTCCTACCCAGGGATCGAACCTGTGTCTTTTATGTCGCCTGCATTGGCAGGTGGGTTTTTTATCACCAGCACCACCTCGGAAACCCCATTAGGCTGTGTTGCCTTCCTTCTCCCCAGCAACCACACGTGTTCTTTTTAATGTGATTTTCTTTTTCTCTATTTTAATACATTTTTAAAATACAGAGACATATGGAGAATATTTGTATTCCTGTTACTTAGAATTGATCACTATTAACATTTTTCATTTTCACTTGAAAACAAAGTTCAGCATTGTTTTTAAATTGGCATTCCAAACAAAGCTTGAGTACCCCTTGATCCCTATCTCCAGTCCTTTTCTCTTTTTCCCAGCCCTTCTGCAGTGTTTCTAGTAAATCTGGTCTATATCCTTCAAGTTATTCTGATTTATTTACCTCTTTATCTCAGGAAAAATATGGAGCTGCTTTATGAATTTAGTTACATGATATTTTGTACATATGCTGCTTGCTTTTTCTATTATTTACTTATGCTGATATATAAAAATCATCCATTTTTTATTGCTTTATTGTATTCTTCCACATGAATCAGCCATATTTAATGTATCCATTTCACCTAGTGATTGATTTTAGGTTATTATTTTTTTCCCTTACAATCATGCCACAGTGAAGATCTTCCCTTATACATGTATAATGATGTGATCTTTTCTTTAGGGTACATATCTAGAAGTGAATCAGATGTACATTTTCACTCCAGTAGGATTTGCCAGAATGCTCTCCAAAGTGGCTGTACCAAGTTTACATTCCCTTTTATTCCACATCTTGCCAGCATTTGCTGTTACATTTTTTTAATTGTTGCCAGTCTAATGGATACAATGGTATTTTGTTTTGATTTGCATTTCCTAATGTTTGTCTTTACATATTTGTCATTCAGGTGTTCTCATCTGTGACTTTTCATATTCTTTGCCCATTTTTTATCTGGGTATTTTTTTTCTTGCTGATTTTATTTTTGCATATGCCTTCAAATTAATCCTTCATTGGTTACATATATTGCACATATTTACTTTTTTGTCCTTTTAGCAAACAAAAATTCTCAACTTTGATGTACAGCATATACTTTCTATGTACTTTCTTCTATAGACTATAAATAGTTGTGTTTGTTAAACATAACGTGATCTTTTAAAATGGAGATTTATGTTAATTTTAATTTTTAATGTGGGAAACTTGCCTTAAAAAGACTTTGTTCTATTCTGAGCCTCTGCTGTTAGTTTTAGTGTACTTACTGATCCTATTATTACAGAAAACATAATTTACTCGATTTATGAATTTTAAAGCAGTCTGAACCAGAAGTTTCAAACAAAAATACGGTTGTAACTAAATTCTGCCATGTGACAAAAGCTGAAACCTTAAGCACATAAGTACAATGGTATTTATGACTCTAGTACATAAAAATATCCATATATATGTGTTAGTATACTGTAATGGTCAGAGGGATGGGGTGGAGAGGGAGGTGGGAGGGGGGACCGGGATGGGGAATACATGTAAATCCATGGCTAATTCATTTCAATGTGTGACAAAAACCACTGCAATGTTGTAAAGTAATTAGCCTCCAACTAATAAAAATAAATGGGAAAAAAATATATCCTTGCCCCCTGGTAGTCCAGCAATCCAGACCTTACATGCTTTTTAAAATATCAAAGCTGCATTTCCTCTTTCTTTATAAAATACTAAATGAGGATCTATTTTTTTCTTTGTGGGCCACATCTGTCAATGTATACGTCTCATCAGACTGGTCCTTATTTCATGTGTGTGGAGCTATGATATTTATCTGAGCCTTCTTTCCAGGAGTGTTTTTTCAAGGATAAGCATTAATGTGACAGCTAAATACTCAAAAGTGTAATTCTTGGCTTTTTGTCACACATTGTTATATTGTCAGGATCAAGTTTTGTATCCAGTAGTACTTACACATGAGTACCAGCCTTTATTTAACTTTTTAAGATGGCACTCAGGAAACCTTGTCTTTCTTTTCCTTGAGTTCACTAGTCACATACACGTATATTCTAGTGACAACTGATCCAAAAAAAAAGTTTACACCATTATTTTTCTGTTTCATACTGTTTTAAGATAAATTTGTGAAACTGACTCCAGTCTTTTGAAAACACTGTTGAAAGAGACAGCATTAAATGATCTAACTATATGATAGTAGGAATCCTGCTAAGAGAAATATATTGACATTTGGTCCCTAGGGCATCCAAATTTTAAATCAGTCAGTCTAGAAGCTAGGATAGGTCTTTTACTTTGTGAGCACAGCTACTTTATTTGAAATGAAAGCATGAGATTAAAAGTAATTTTCTCTCCAATGTTTAGGTTGGTCACAGCAGATGTAGCTTTTTACACTGGAAATCTTCAAGCCTTAAAAGGCCTTAAAGATTTGGACCTAAATATGGCCGAGATATGGGAACAGAAAAGGTGATGACATACTGGAAAACTGGGCAGTTCATCTGACCAGGGGATGTGTGTTTATGATGGAAACATGGACGCCTGTGACTGAAGAACTGAATCTGGAGCCCACAGTGAACCGGGATTGGGGAAGGGGAAAAGGAGTGTGTCAGTGTTGGGAAACTGGGATTCAGTGGGATCTACAAGGAATGCCATTTGTGTGCTTCCTTCAGTGAGGAGTAACTGATCAGGTGTCTATAACATTTTTCATTCTCTCTGGAAACAGACTCAGGTTTCTTTGGACCAAATCCAAAAGAACACATAGCTGTAACACAGCTGTAGTTGACTAGAATGCTCTGTATACTTTATATTAAAAAATGCTTTGCATTTCTTCCAGTGCAATGAAATTCATACGGTGTCCCACTTTATTTAATGATGGTACAATTTAAAATATTAAAATCTTACTCAACCTCTGTAGAAAGTTTTCTCTATGAAAGTAAAGCTGTTTGAAAATTATTTTTTTACAGATCTTTCTATAAAAAATAAACATCTTTTAATTGCTTGGATTTAGGAATTCAGTTTTTGTTTTAGTGACCAATGTTAAGTTTCAGGCTTTGTGTGTTGCAAATTTAATCTTTTTATCACCGCTGTATGTCAGCTGCATAAAAGCCTTCCAGAATAGTCTAAATACTTGAAAGGCTGATCACAAGTAATAATAAAAGAGTAAGATTTTGGTGTTTATTTATGCAACTATTAATTTAAATACTTATCAGATGTGGTATATGAAAGCCTGCAGTTTAACAGCTGTATTTTTATAAAAGCATCTATGAAGGGTTGGGGTGTTTTTTTCCTTTTTATTTTTAGAGGCAAGAATACATTTTCATATATTCTGCCTAATCTTGAGTTCTCATTTTAACATTTAGATAACATTGAAGTATGCCCCCCCTTGGGTTCTTGTTTGTAAGTTACTTTCAGTGTGTATATGAACAAAGACCAGGGATAGATAGAACTTTTAAAATAGAGGCTGCTGTGTTGGGGCCAGAAATATAAGGTGATGAGTAAATTATTTAAATTAAAGACTTTTATAATACCTACCTTCAAAATTAGAACTAAATGAAAGTGCCTGTGCCTCACTTCACACCAGGAACCTTGCCTAACCCTGTCAGAGTGCCTAACCTTGTGGTGATTATGTACAATGAAATAGTCTTATTTTGTGCTCTTTGGTTTCCTAAAAGGAAAGTCTGTTTTCTTTCCTTTATCCTTATTACAGAGGTATGTCATTGGTTCTTAAACTGTCTGTCTAAAATAAAGCTGTAAAAAATTATCAGACTTTAAAAGACAACTTTTTTTAAACAGTATACAGTAAATTTTAAAGAAAATAAGCAACTTATTCAAAAACAAGCATGGAAGAACTGAAAAATGTAATTGATACTTAGAGAAAAGCCAAAATTCAAACTACCAGCAGACCTGGATTTGGAAGGTTTATTCAAGAACATTTTCAGTGACAGCAAAGCAGCTTCAAGAAATGAAGCTTCAAGGAAAGGGAACTTTTTATAAAGTTATACCCTCACCCCGCTATACTAGAGAACAAGGGTGTGAGAGAAATGCGCTACCTCTGCCCACCCCACCCCCTTTAGCTGGGAAAAGAAATACCACTTTGTTTCAGTAAATGGAGAGTCTGTGGAAAGCATGGCAGGCATCCCAGTTTCAGAACTAGATGAAAGATACACCTTCAAGTTTAACTCCTATGGAAATAATGATGTGGTTAATTCTCAGAAATGTAAAACCTGGATTTGTTAGGTAACTGGCCAGCGAGCACTTATATATTCCAGGAGCAAATCTTTCAACTGATAGAGTAACTGTTTGGCAAGAGTAAACCAAAATTTTTCTTCAGCATTTCATAAAGTTAGCATTGAAAAGTATGAGTGTACACATGTATTGCTTCACAGCTTTATTTTTGAAATCACAAGCAGTTCAAAATGACCATCATTGAGGCCTCTGTTAAAAGATTTTCCAGCAGAGCTGCCCCAGTTTTAAGATTAAACAATATTGCACTTTCAGGTGAATTAACTTTCAGGATCTTCTTCAAAAAAGAAAAGTATTGCTTCCATCTGTGCTTTTCTTAGACTAAAAGCATACTGCAGAAAACTCTACTTTAAAAATTAACACTGCAGGGTACAGTAACATAGAACAGTACCTGCCTATTTTATAATCTTAGAGGAACTTTTCATTGTAAGAAACTGTTCAGCCCATAATTAGTATAAAGTGTGTACAGTATTTTTCATTTCAGTGGTCCAAGATACGCAGGTTCCCAGATACAATCTTGTTCTCTAATACTGCTCCAGGTGGGATGTCAATTCGGTCACCGTGATTTGCGATGATGATAACCGTTCCCTAAGTGACAGAAAAAACAAGAGTAATTGCAATGGTGAGCTGAAATGCAGTTGATTTTCCTACAGTTATCACGTTTATGTAGAACTTCACTTACAATGGAGTAAGTGTATTTATAAACAACATGAAATATGAAAAACAAATGGCCTGTTAAGGAAAACTGTAATGTGTCCTGTCACAACCCTGGCAGTAGTTCTGGTACCATCTCTGATAAAGAGGCAAGGAGTCTAGAAGTGGGAAGTGGACCCAGTGCCACAGCATGACTGGCCCTTTCAAAGAACTACTTGCAAGGCCACCAGCATTATCTACCTTCAGAAACTACAAGGTGCTTGGTTTTTATCTACATACAGGTTTGTGTTTTTTTTTTTTTTTAAAGAACAGTTTAATGATTCATATTTCATGTCTTAAGTAAAATTGTTTAGATAAGGCAGTATTAGCAATAATTATAAATAAATATATCTATATACCTTTTTTTTTTAAGATCTTTAAGTCACTTTAATAAGAACACATAAACTCTAGGTATGGAACTTTAAAAAAATACTTGATTAGGAAAAAACTGTTCTATCTTTGGTTCTGAACTTGAATACTCATACCCATAGTCCTTGCTATTTCTTATGCTAGGCTGGAATGATACTCAAAGTACCCAAGCACTGTAGTAATGTGAATGAACATCTTCATACTGATGACATTTTACTTTTAACAGGAATAGATTATAATCAGTATAAATGGAGTTGTTATTTTTTTCTACTTTCAAACAGTCATCTTTAGTGAATGCTAATTTATCAGTGATTCAATTTTAAAGACTGTCATATTTCAATAAAATAGTACCAATTCAATTATTTAATAGTGTTTGCTTTCCATTTGAATGCTATGTTCCACAAAATTCCTATACACAACAATTATGATTATATTTTAACTATGGTGTATATCTATGGACGACAGTATTAATACTAAATATTGTAGTAAGCTATTTCATTTTGAAAATGCATATCTTATAAGCAATCTGGTACAGACTAAGAAGTATTCCTTAAAATAAAGGTAAATTTAGGACTAGATGATGAAACCTGTCTTATAAAACTATAAGAACTCTAATTTTCATCATAACACACCTTTAATGAAACATTCTTGCCAAATGTCACATCTCCTGAAACTGTGAGGTGATCCAGTTCAAGCATATCTGGTATACTTTCAAATCTTCTTAGATAATCCTGAACCTGAAAGAGAAAGTGAAACATAAAAATTGTTTCAAAAATGGGTTAAAAGAAAAACAGGGATTAAATTAACAAGGCAGTTTACTTGAACTGTAAAACATTCTGTTTATGGCCAAGCTCGGGCCTTTTATGGGAAGAACCCTGTTTATTAAGGACTCACTGTGTGAGTAGTGAGAGTTTATATATCCTGTGTAGGAGAGACCAGGCGGTAAACTTTGTCCCCACAATCAAGTGTTTACACTACAGCTGAGTAGATTAGACATTAAAATAGTAATAAGTAAAAAGATAACCACCATGCTAAGAGCCAGGTGAGTGGTTCACATAATCTGGAGTTAGTTGGAAAAGAGATCATCATGGTCTGAAGCAAGCTAGACTGGAGCTGGGCTTTATGACACAGGTAGGATTAAGAAGAAATGGAATACAGTTCTAGAAGAACAACAGCACAAAGTATCAAGATCACTATCTTTGCCTCTTACTTCCTTAGATTTACTGGCACTAGAAATTGTCGTGTATGGCCTTGTTTCCTATTTTGCTGAGAAATACAGAAGCAACAGGAAAATTTACACTGGCCTCTACCACCACCACCCATTTGCTCTGGAGCCCATTACCTGTCCCTCCTAGTTCTGGGGTCGGACCATTTCTATTCCAATGTAAGGCTAACCCTTCTTATGGTTACTGCCCAAAGATACTGTGAAGCAATGCTCCTTTCTCCCTCTTCAGTGTTGCTTCCTCTTGATTCTGTCAATTCCCATCAATGTATAGAACATGCTATAAATTCTCCCAACTTAAAAACAGAATTCTAAAATCTTATATCCCTTTCTACCTATAGATTCATTTTTATGTTTTTCTTTAAGGAAAAACTCTTGAATACGTTTTCTCATTCAGTATCTTCAATTTCTCTTCTGTTCTCTCTTAAATCCACGCCAGTCAGGCCCCAAAACCTCTATACTGTTAAAGCTAATTGTGAGTTCTCACTCATCTTATTTGAGTTGGCAACAGCACTTGACTACAAATGATCAGTTCTTCTCTCGTGAAACATTTTCTTCATTCGGCTTTCAGGCCACACACAAGTCATGGTTTTCTACCCAGTTCTTCATCTGCACCTCCGCAGTCACCTGTGCCGCTTCCTCCACCATATCCGCATCCTCTGGCCTTGGCGTTCCTCAGGGCTCAGTTGTTGACTCCCTACCCTGTCATTAACTGACTCAGCGATCCTTATGGTTTTAAATACCCAGTTATAAACTGACAACTCTCAAATTTACCTTGTTTCTATATTTTTCTCTGAGCTCCAGACTCATACATTCAGCTTCTCCATTTGAAGGTCCAAGTACACTGTCTCCAAAATTTAACTGTCCATTCTGCTCCCCCTAAACCTGTTCCATCCAAGCCTTCCACACCCTCAGTAAAAGCCAGCTCCACATTTCCAGTCACACAGGCCAAAAACCTTAGAGCCATCCATACTCTTCTCTTTCACCCTCCTACCTAGTAAATCCTGTAGGTACAACTTACAAAATATTTCATAATGTTAACGTTTTTCACTATTTCCCCTGCAGCCACCCTGCTCCAAGCCAGAATTCCAGTGACAGCCTATTCCCTGGTCTCCATGATTCTACCCCTGCTCACCAGATTGGTCACTTCACCCCTCAGTTGACATTCTCCAATGGCTTCTCACCCTTGAGAAGAAAAAAGCCACACTCCCAATACCCAATTACAAGGTTCTACACAATCTGGCCTGTTACATCTCTGATCAACTATCTCCCACCCCCACTGCTCACTTGCTCACTGTGCTCTAGGAACCCTAAAACATGTTCTTCCTCAGAGCAACTAGCGATTGCCCTCTCAACCCCTGTTCTCAAACTGAGACAGCCTAAAGTTCTTATCTCTTGCAGGGTATGGAAGAGACTAGGAAGGGTGGGAGGCAAGGAAGGGAAGATGAGGCTAGGTGGAAAATGGTTAGTAATTCTATCTCAGGATCTGGGAAGATGGCGGGTCCATGTAGCACCACGATCTTCCCAGCCCGAGCAGGCAGATTAGGGAGGCACCAAAGACACGGAGACTTCTAAAATGCATGATGCTGTCCTGGAAATTCCAACCCGGCCACAGGACCCAGAATCAGCCCATGACTGTGTCAGGGCAGTGCACACATCCGAACCACAAGCAGGACTAGAATAGACTTGGATGGCAGAGGCCACACAAAGGCTAACCCTGTCACTTCATTAACCTCACAGCATTTTATGTGATTAATTTTTTTGGATTCCGCTTACCATATTCCTCCTGCCTAGAATGCTTTTTGCCCCAGATACCTGCATGGTATAAACTTCTCAGGCCACCCGATGTAAAATGTCACCACCACCACCACGTCCACACATTCCCTACTCCTTTATTTAGCATTTACCATCTCTTGGCATATTATACCTTTGACTTACTTGCTTCTTACCCCACTAGAATATCCAGGAAGGCTAAGATTTTTGTCTGTTTTATTTATTGCTAAATACCTAGAACACTGCCTTGTGCATGGCAGAGACTCAATAAATTCTGTTAAACCAGAATTAACATACTCTCACTGATGAAAGCAGTAATGGTCTTAGACGAGATATAAGATATAATATCTTAAAATATAAACATTTTTTACTGCTCTATATAGCAAGCAGTTAAAAAATGAGTTACATCTTCATCTTCTATGGTTGATTTCCTTTAAAAGACATCAAGTTGGAAGAATATAATAGATTAGCATCAGACTCCAATTCACGTGTGTATCCTATCTTTCTAATTACACATTAAGAAATACAAATTCACATGTATATCATATTTATAATTACATACCTTTGTAAAAGAACTGCCTAATTTAACCAAGGGCACTGTAGGAAATTCCCGCTTTTCACTCATTGTCAAAGATCCTGCATTAAGGCTATAGAGGTTTGACATCACAAGCAAGAGATCTGATGTGGTTTTGACAGGCAGAAAACGGCTTCTAGGAACATTAATACCTAGAGAGTTCTCAAAACTTTTAATGGCAGCCCCTACTGCAGTTTCTAACTGAATGACATTCAGGCCTCCATCCAAAGTCTGTAAGAAAGGGAGCAGGAGAGAAAAACAGGTTTTAGTAACTTGGTTCTATATGGGCTAGTTATTTGGCGAGTGGTTTCAGAGATCCACTGAAGGAAACAGAATTTTGAGAGCTGATATCTCTGAAGCACTGGTAGGTGCTTATACATATGTGATCTTTTTCAGCATCATAACTCTCTTGTTCAGTAACATTTCCATTTTACAATAAAGAGCTGAAGGTTCAGAAAACCCATGCAGATGCCTGTGGCCAAGAGGCCTCTAAGTACCAGAGCATAAAGGTTGAGGTAGATCCTCTATTTGGGCCCAGTGCTCTTGCCGCTACCATGGCCCAGGGTCGAGTAAGGACACTATGGATTGCTTGGCAAACTAAGGGATGGGTGTCGACTCTGAAAGAGAGGGCCAGGAACGGAAGAAACTAACTAGGCCAAAAGGAATGACCCATGGACTAGACAGGCCAGAGGCAGTGGACAGCGAGTCTGTGTGTGGTGTGCTGTGAGTGGAACCAGGGAGCCCAATGGGCTGCAACTTTGGCTTACCTTTGGATTTACAATGATTTCCATGTCAATAGCATTCTGCTCCTGCAGTCTTTTAACTGCAGCAAGAGAGATCCATAGGTTGTTTGTGTTAAATATTTTGAATTTTGATACAGATTTGAACTCATCAACATGTGCTTTTGGCACTTGAGCAATTTCCACCAGTCTCAGTTTGCCTTCATACTGAGTGAGTGTCCCACCCTAGAAAGGCAGAGAAGAGTGAGTGCTTCCACACCGCTCCCAATTATAACCACACCACGTTGTTTACAGTCTATGAATGATACAGAAAAGACACTGATGACAAAATCCCCCAGAAATAAAAGGCAATGGCAGTGATTCAATCTGGGATACAAAGTAACACATGTATGAAAGTAGAACCAAAGAAAATAATTCAGGTTGTCAGTTGTTTTATACTCCCTCTTGTCCATAATAAAAGTCCTGGGGGTACATTAGCGCTCTCCTCACTTTCCAAACATCTGCTGCAGAAACAGACATTCCTCTTATTCTCACCAAACGACCAATCCTACCACCTCAGACCCTGCTCTGACTACCTGTGGGATAAGGGGAGTAACGTTAAGACAGAGGCGCAAGTGGAAGAGAAGAGACTTCAGAGTGGCTTTAGCCTAGAGGCCCTGAGGTGCAGGAAAAGGGGAATGTTCACTCATATGTGAGGGGGACATTTGTAAGAGAAATAGAACCCAGCCCAAGGACCAGCCATAGTATCACACACTGCCCACTTTTCTTACTCCCTGAAGCTAAGTGGAAAACCTTGTGTACTATTCAATCAAAGGCCAAATATCACCACTAAACATGCAAAATGAAAAAAACTAATTTTTGTTTTGTATAAAACTTTGTTTTGTAACAAAAGATATTACAGTGATAAAATATATACAGAGAGAAATACATACTGTAGAAACAGAAGTAAATTTTCATTAAAAGAACAATTAAAAACACTCAAGCATCCAACTAGAAGAATATTAGTGGTTGGAACAAACACAGTGTTTTCACATATGTTTCAGATAATCCTATAAATATGTGTGGAATTGTTTTTTAGTTAAAATTGCCCATATAGATTGTTTGAAAAAGAAAAATGATTTTACTACTATTAAATCTGGATGTATATACACACTGTTATATCAGATAGAACTTAGGGTACTCTAGAACACTATCCCACTCTAGCTTACAGTGATGTTATCAAGTTTCTAAACTTAAAACTTTTCAATAAAGAATTGCAACTGTGAAATGTGAAGATGTAAATCCCCAAAGTGCTTCCTCAGTATTTACCTTTACATCTGCACGGGTTTTGTTTGTGACTTCCATGACAAATTCACAAGGTTTTCCATTGGGTGGGTTCATGAGATGATTAAGAATATAAAGATCCACTGTGGCGCCCAGATTATCTATGTTGGACACAAAAATATACTCTTTTCCTTCTCCTATAAAGGTGTCGAGCAAACCAGAGTTGTAGAAACTGGCATAAATATCTCCATGACCCGGAGGATACCAAGCTTCTGTATTTTCCCCTGAGTATGATACATTCTTTGCTACAGGCAGTAAAGACTCTTTATTAATCCTTGGGTACCTTAAGAAAACAAAATTTCTTTTTCAGTGTCAACTCTGTAGAGTATTCCAGATCTTCAAGTTAAACAATGCATGTAAAGTTAAATCAAATTTCCCTCCTTTTCAGTCCATCATAGCAATTTAATCATAAGTGAATCCATTTAAGAAAACCTCTCATTATCTGTGCCGACCAAAAAACCAGCTTCCTGCATAGTGATATTTGCTGCAAAAAAAAAAAAATCATTCCATGGTTGTTCAGATGGGGAGACACCCCATATTTTTAAGATATTCACATGTCTTATGACTCTTCAAAAGGAAAAACGTATTAAGTAAATTTTCTCAAACTTATTTGGTGGTGGGATTGTTCTTTTCCTTGAAAAAAAGGGAAATGCTCTCCATTTGGGAAATGCTGTCCATTCTCACCAACAGATATATTCAGTGGTGGTTCTCTTCCTTTCCCAGAAAATCAACAGCAGGTTGGTACTCAGGGATGTCTGCTTCTTACCACTTTTGAGAACCAAAATCTCAGGCAGATTCTCTTTTAAGAAATTCAAGTTACATAACCACAGAGTGATTATAACTGCCACATATCTATTAACTAATGTTTAGCCTTTAAAGGCATTAAACACCTGTAGACAGTCTGACACATGTACATCTTGAGGCTGCTCTGATTAAACAAAACAAAGAAGTCCTTCTTTCCCTGAAGTAACATCCCCCATAGTTAATTTTTTTACTCCTTGTACCTGCTTTGATTAAACGTGTAGATTTTCACACGACAGTGATTATACTTCTGTAGTATTTTTTTGGTATCTTCATCCGTGTTAAAAGAGTTCATCAGAACAAGAGGAACATCAGTATCATAGGTTTTGTTCAAGTGCTAGGGAGGAAAACAACAATCAGGTCACTCAGACTTACTATTCTTTTGTTTCAAAGTATAAAGTTAACTCTCAATGGTTGATCACAAAATGTTCATATCATCTATAATAGCAAAATATATAGATTTGAAGTAAACTATAACTAGCATCTTTACCATGTACTTGCTCATTAAATCACAATCCTATGAGACAGAAACTACTGTCTGCATTTTATGGATGGCTAAACTGAGGGCCCAGAGAAGTGGCAGGTCAGTGGAAGAGCCAGGACACCCCTCCCAACCCCCACAGTCCAACTCTGGGGCTGTGTGCCCAGTCACAGTGCCCTGTGGCCTCACTGGATGGGCAAACACAGCATAAGTATTTACTCTATGTCCAAAGTACTGTGAGGATGAAAGTACAAATGTTACAAAAATGTCTACCTATTCTCAGGATTCATGTTAAAGACTGTGAATAATACCTTAACTAATATCTTTTCTATCTTTAGGAAGAGCTAAAAGGCAACACAAAGTGTGAAGAAAACACAATCCTAGAAGTCAGACTGCCCCGTGTTCCCTGTTTGATTCTGCATTTACTAACCAGCGAGGGAGGCCTGGGCATAAATCAACCTCTCTGTGCCTTGGTTTCCTCATCTGTAACATGGTGATGATAACAGTGCTTATCTTACAGAGTTGTTGAGAGGAACAAATGAGTCAATTCATGTAAAGAGCTCAGAATGATACTTAGTAAGTGCTGGATAAATGTTAGCTGCTGCTACTGTTATTATAATGATTGCTGGCACGGTATGAGAAACTAGGGATATAGAGATGAAAAAGACAGGGGCCACTGCCCTTTAAGAGCTTATGGTCTATGATTAAGGACTTTATGGTCTATGTAAAAGAGAAGTTAGTGACAATTCTTAGCATCCATGGTGCCCACCCAGATACATGAAAATTCTCCCCAGCCTCCAAAAGGGGGCTAATAAAGTCAGATCATCCCAGCTCTGATGAAGGCTACCCCTAGAGAGAAGGAGGGGAGAGAGGCAGAGAGATCAAAGGAGAATTCGAAGAGATTCAGAGATTCGCACCACAAATGCTATTTAAACATCAAAAGCTCTCACATCACCCTAAGGATTTGCTTTTAGGAACACCAAACCTTTTTTTAACACACTAATAAAGAGAATAAAGATAGCATGCTCCTTGACTAGCTCAAATCCACATCTATTATTTTCTAAGGTAACATTTACAGTAACCTGAAAACTGAAAATCATTTTGGTAGCTCATGAGAAAGGCTCAATGCTCCTACTCACTTCGATTTGCTGAACGGTCAGATCCAGAAAGGTATTCTCGTTCCTCACGCCAATCAGACTCTTTGGGCCTTTACAGCCCATGCTGGTTCCCAAACCGCCATTGAGTTTCACCACCACCAGCTTGTTCAGCACAGAAGATACATTATCAGGTAAGCCCCTGGCCTTTATCTTCTCATAGGGCTGAATCTGAAAAATTTTTTTAAATTATTAAGAGGTTAAACCAAATCAGCACCAAGGTTACTTCCATGTTTCCTTGAAGAGGTTTGCTTTTTCTGTAGAGTTTCAGGTACATTTTCTTTAATATCCAGGGCCCTTCTGGTTCAAAATTTAAGTTCTTATCAGCAACTTCCCTTGCACACAGAAGCAGTTGAGTGGTTCATTTACAGTACCATGGAGCACAAGAGGGGAAAAGTTACAGTCTACAAATATTTTGACTGGCTGGTGAGAACATCCTTCTCTTGGACTACCTTCAAAAGTACTGAATTCTCAGCAAACAGGATGCACAAACTCATTCACATCTGTAAATGTTTCTAGTGTACCATGAGTCTACTTAGGTTCTGGAGAAGTATATAAATGATCACACAGTTCTGGGTAACATACTCCATGCAATTCCTGGAGACAGTGCCAAATACTCAAAGCAAGCTAACAATACCTGCCCTGTTATGGTTTACAAGGGTGTGATTTTTTGGCAATCTGAAAGTTGTTTTTTTTTTTTCAACAAAAGCAAGTTTGCCTGAAAGAAAATGAGCTGTGTAAACAGTAAAACAAGTTTGAAATGAGCACAGAGGCTTCATCTTCAATTTCTTCCTCACAGGAAAGAACAATGACAGTGGAAGCTCAAATTTTTCTGTTAGGAGAGTCACAAACAAGTCTAAACATCTTACAACAAGAACGGAGCTTTTAAAAAGATCACAGTATACTTTCTATCCATCTACAGAACATTTGTTGTTACTTTTCTTTTATGAAATAGGTTATCAAATGTGCTCTTCAGTTACATCATGGTGGAGAATAAAATACTTAATGGGACTGAAGAAGTAAAACCAGAACTCTTTCATCCTGCAAAACTGGACCTATATTCATTATAAAACAACTCCCCACTCCCTCCTTTCCACCTTTCTACTTTCTATCTCCATGAGTCTTGCTACTCCAGGTGGCTCAGACATGGAATCACAATGGACTTGTCTTTTGTGACTGACTTATTTCACTTAGCACAATGTCCTCAAGGTTTAATTAGCATTCTTTTTTTTTAAAGTGACTTATATGTTTCAGGAGACTCCAAATTAATGCAGATTTTTCCAGACAAATGCTTTCATTTAATAAAGTTGATATTTGTGTATGCAGATCTGAGAGAAGGGGAGACTGATACAAAGAAATGGAATGCAGGTTGACAGATTCTATGGCAAATTGAGCCTTATGTAACTTTTTTATTCCATTTGTAGGTATTAAAATTGAACAGAATACATGTTCTGAAGTCTTAGTTTAATGAATCAGAAAATGGATTCTCTTCATTTGAATTTAAGGAACAGAATACACTCAACTTTGAATTAAAAGATTAAAAGAATGAAAAATAATATTGCAAGTGTAACCATGGTTCTAAAAGTGTAAGTCTGAGAAAATGTTGCTCTTTCAAATACAGGTGATAACAGTACAGAATGGCAGGGCTTAGGGCTGCAGACACTACTCAACACCTGAGTTGTGAATTTTCCATTATCTCTTAGGAATGGGCAGCCTGTCATTTCAAGGCAGAAACTTAAAAAAAAATGTAAACAATGTAAAAAGAAATTTCTTCATATTTAGGTATGCAGTCAAAAGATCAACAGGATAGCATTTTTCACCATTTTTGTCACCCTCCAGACACAGTGCTAAATGCAGCGGAGGAACTGAAATTTTAATTTTATTTAATATTAATGTAAATCAACATACATGGCTAGCAGTGTGTGCTCTGATGGCCTGTTATAAAATATCAACCAAACAATCAGAATTATGTTTCAGTTTGTTTTAATAAAACTGCCAAAATCCTTTTTTTGTTCAATATAACCTTTTTTCTTTTTAACTTCAATGACATTGACTCATATCATCTGTGCAGATGAATTAAAAACCAAATGTCAACCTTGGAGCCTTAAAGTTTCACCAGGAGAGGAAAAAACCCCAATATCACATATATTCATGACAAAACATCTTTGATCCACATATGATAAAGAATATAAAGTATTTAGAGAAAAAAAAGTTTTCTTCACATTAATCAAACTTCAAAACATGCATTTTACTAGAATGCTTTAAGAAGACAGTTGCTTACGACTAAGTGTATGGAGGCTAAACAAATTTTTTCTTGTATCCCCCAAATTTATTCTATATATAATGGTGATCATGTATCCTCCTTTATTCTCTATATAATGGTGATCAAAGGTCTCAGCCTCACAATGATTTTAACACTAGGCCATCTGCCTTCAGCCCAAAGGTATATTAAATACACTTTGGTCTTGATTCAATTTTCCCAAGATTGGTATCTTGACAACTTCAGTTTAAATTTAAAATGTACTTCTGAATTACCTTTCAAATATTTGGGGTGAAATAAAATAAGCTGATCCAAAAACAATATTAAATTCCAAAACTGAGCTAATGAAGACTTTTGGGCCCAGGTGCAGGCAACTCCCAAGTAGAAACTTCGTTATCATTTAGGTGGGAGCCCAAAATTCTCTGTGAAGTGCTTTATTTAGAACCTTGTAACCCAAGCTAAGTGGGCAGGGAGTCACTCAACACCTACAAATGTCAAGGAACCATGGTTCTTTAGGTGGTGCTTTCAGTAATACCTACTTGTCTTGCTCTAATATAGCAGCTAATTAAATACAGGCCTCACTGAAGAACCGACTGTTAACAAGAAAAGGACTATAGAGAGAAAGGGAAGAAGTCACAAGGTGTGAAGTAACAACGTACAGCCAGGAGGAAGATGTCCAGTCATCAAGTCAGCATTGCTATTTGAAGCCTCCACTTTCACTTACATTTCAGCTTAAATCCACCCGACTCCGCACACAGACAGACACAAACACACAGAAAGGCACCAGTCATGCATGGAAGGAAGCCAAGACAGTTTTGGTCTACAGCTTACTGCAGTTTAAATTAGGTGGCAAGCTCAGCTTTCATCACATAAATCACCCCATATACCAATACAAGTTCTCTCTGTTGGTGATGCTGTCCACACCCACCACCAGGGACCTCACCAAGCAATCCCACAGAGCTTGGTTTATTTCCTGAGCCAAAAGGACCTGTGTTAGAAGACTGCTTGGCAACAGCTGAAGTTATGCTGGACACACCTAGCTAGTCACAGGGACATTTTTAGATCTGTCCTCCACATTCCCCCTCTGAGCTCCCCCAGGAGAATGCACAAAGACATCCACTCAGGCAAAGATGGATGGGGTTGGGAGACAACAGGGAGTACCATGCACTGCTGGGTACAGCCTAGATGTTACTCTGACTGTCACTTCAGTCAGTCACCAGTACTCCCCAGATGGCATTAGTGGTAAAGAACCCGCCTGCCAATGCAGGAGAAGTAAGAGACACAAGTTCAGTCCTTGGGTGGGGAAGATCCTCTGGAGGAGCGCATGGCAACCCACTGAAGTATTCTTGCCTGGAGAATCCCATGAGCAGAGCAGCCTGGTGGGCTACAGTGCAAAGGGTCACAGTCAGACAGGACTGAAATGACTTAGCACGCACAGTGCTATCTCTGTGCTTTCAAGCCTGATCACCATCTTTCTCTTTCTCCAAGACATGAATGGAATTCAGTGTTCTACGAAGACCTCTGTGGCATTGTAAATATACAGCAGGGCAATCTCTACAGGTAAGGTGGGGCAAACCTCGGGAGGCTCCCTGCAAAATGTGCAGGGGAGACAAAGCCACTCATGTTCTCCTCTCACTGGGAGAAAACAATGTGTCAAATACTCAACTTCCTCTGCGGAATGAACAAAGAAAGTAGTTGTGAAATTATGAAAAATCATAATTTAAACAACATTCTTCCCTCTGGGATGTAATCTAGTTTTTCTGCAGAAACTGAAATATTTTTTAAAAGATCTTTTAAAAACTTGTCTACTATGACCTGTACCTTGCCAAGTCTGTTCACAACTTAGTTTCCAGTTAGAAGAAAAGCTGAATTCATTACACAGTCATGGAAACACACTGTTCCCATTAGCAATAGTATAACCCAGTTCTTGGTAGCATATTCGTGCTATTCCTGGAGACACTGCCAAATACCCAAAACAAGCTAACAGTACCTGCCCTGTTATGGTTCACAAGGCTATGATTATTAAGAAAGTTTTTTTTTTTTCCCAACAAAAGCAAATTTTCCAAGAAGAAAATGAGCTATGTTAACAGTAAAACAAGTTTGAAATGACATTCCACATGTACAGGAAGTGTTCCAAGAACATCCGCGTATTCCCTAAACCCTCACTGCACAGCCTCTGCGTACCAAGGCCTGTGCTAGGTGCTCTCTCACTGTGTCTCTTCATTTCACATTTCTAAAGCTAACAACCAAAATCTGGGCCATGTGTACGCTCCAGCCAATTACCTAGACCAGAGACTTGTTTCTTGTTCAGGAAAAGCTGGCAAATCACATACATTATCACATGATCCACCAGCAGACTTGCCAACACCTTGTCAGCCACCGAGATAAGCTCAGCTCCTATTCACAGGGTGAGCAAAACCATCCCCTACAACAGCGCCCTCGACCATCTGCCTCCAGAATGGATCCTCAGGACCTTCCTGCAGCACCACCTATGTTGCATCCCCTTCCTTCTGGTCACAGAATAGCTGTCCCCTGCCCCAAAGTAATCTCTCTACTAGTGCCCACCTAAGATTCCCACTTCATCAATCTCCCAGCCTCAGAGCCAGCCCTTCCCTATCTATTCCTTTCCATAGACACGAATATACTCAAATATTTTACATCTAAAAGACAAAGAAAATAGCAAAGCAGACACTCACCCCTTTCTGTCCTTTTTTCTCCATCTTCTTAAAGTCAAAGCTCCTTTAAAAAGCTGCTACACTCACCTCTACTTCCTCACCTCACCTCTTTTTCACTCACTCACCTGCTGCAATCTTGTTTTCTCCATAGCTCAGTGAACTGCTCTTACCAAGGTTATTAACATCCTCCTCCTTGCTAAATCTGGTCAATAATAACAATGTTTCTCTTATTAAAC